CCTGAGGTGGGAAGGGGGCTTGGCTCTCTGTGCCCCCGCAGAGAGGGCATGGCCACTTCTGAACGGCTTCTTGGCAGGGATTGGGAGCGCTGGGTGGGAGAAGGATCCCTCGGGAGTTGCCCGGTTGCTTCTTAAGCATCACTGCCTGATGCAGGGCGCTGGGTGAGCTGAACCCCCGGAAGGGGCCATTCTGGGCTTGCGTGATCCTCTCGCAGCCACGCTCGGGATGGAGTGAAGGAGCCCGTTGTGGGGAGCAAGGCTGTTCTCCTCCCTGTTAGTCATCTGCTGGCCTCCAAGCAAGCATCCTGGCCCATAAATGGGGCAGCAGAACGTGGGATGGGCAGTGGGGGCGTTAGGTCAAAGCAGCGGGGAGGTGGCTGCTGATGTCTGACACCACGAGGAGTTCACCTGGAGCCTCTTCGGGCCTTGCATTCATGGTTATCTGGCATGTGGAAAACAGGGAGGAAGGTCCCATTTGTAAAGGGTTGCGGCTCTGTGTGCCAGCGTTCGTAGGGGACAGCTGGGAGCAGAGCATGTGGTTTGCTTGCCGTGCAAGGCTGGATGTGCTTCACTTCTCTGTCTGTGCTGTGCTTCCAGGGCCCCTTCTCTCTGCTCAAGCATGAAGAGCATCCGCAGCAGCTCCTCATTCCAGAGTGCCGGTTCTGGCAGCGTGGATCTGAGCCTGACGGGCGTCCCTGTGCCGGTCTCGCGGCGCCCCAGCAGCGCCTCTCCCGCCAAGCACATGGCACGCTCCATCTCGGTCACCGCCGACAGCAAACCAAAGAGGAATGCTCTGGTGAGTCCTGGGCAGGAGAAGTCCTTCATCCCCATGTCCCTCCTGCTGCTTGGGGCAAGGAGGCGCAGGCCGTGGGATTCCTTGTGCGCAGTCTGGGGTGGGAGGTGGCACCGGGGAAGGGCCTTGGCTCCCCCAGGAGCTCTTGGCAGCGTGGCGCAGCTGCATGCTTAGGGAGAGCAGCTGCATCGCCTTTGGGAGGGGAGAATCAGGCCAGTTTGGGTGCTAGCTGGAGCTGCAGCTGTGGGTGCTGCAGTGTCGTGTGCTCTCTCCAAATCTGATTGACTTCAATGATTGGCTGCTTGTCAGGTCTACTCTTGACCCTTTAAAGTGCACAGAAGGGCACGCAGGAAAGTGTCAGGCTTCACCCTTTTCCATTCCTTGCCCTTCACTTCCCTGTGCTGATTTCCTTCTGGAAACTCCAGCTCCTGGTGTCTTCTGTCAGATGCTGTGGCGCTTTCAGGCCCAGCCTGCACCTTGCCAAGCACACTGCGTTCCTGCTGGGGCCAGCAGAGCTGGGGTCTCACTCAGTGGGTTTTTTTTTTTTTTTTCAGCAAAGTGAATGAGCCCCAGGTACTTACTGGGCTCTGTTAAGATCCAATAGTGGAGAGTTTCTGTGCCCTTTGCGGAGTAACCCCTGCTGCCCTGGCAGTCTTCCTTCACGCTCGTTCCCAGGGCAGGTAATGAGCACGGCCCTTCTGGTCTGGGGAGCTCACGCTAAGGCACGTGTTCCTGCTGGCTTAGCAGCGGCGTGGGAGCCCCAGGGGGAATGAGGTGTCATTGCCTGCCTCAAGGAGAGGTTGGCAGCCGCAGGGATGTCGGAGACATTGTGCTGGGGCTGTGTTGAAGGGGTGGAAGGGTAGTACCCCCAGCAGTGCTATTTCAGGATGCCTGGCTCATAAGGGAGCCTGCCTAGGCCAGGCATCCCAGCTCTGCCTGCCCGTGCTTCTCCTTAACATCACTGCTGAATTCAGCTCTCTCCTCCACGGGAAGATGCGGGATCCAGGGCAATGAACAACCTCCGGAGGTCCAACAGCACCACCCAGGTTAACCAGCGGGTGAACAGCATGCGCAGGTACAGCTCCAGCCACCAGTGTGTGTGTGTCTGTCCCCTGGACTGTGTGAAACCCCACACATCTGCCTGACCTCTCTTCTCCTGTGAGGGGACCAGAGCCTTTCAAAAAATGTACGTTAAGTTCTGTCATATGCGTTGGGGGTTACAACCTGGCCTTGGAAAGCCAAGGTCTGGGCTTTTTTGTTTAGTGTGGGTTTTTTTGGAGGGGAGGTCACTCGATTGGGATTTGGGGAAACAGAGCCTATTTCTGTGGCTGGGAAGCCTCTGTGACGAAAGACACTCTATTCCAAGGGACAGGAGCATTCAATTACAACAGCCCCTCGTGGACCCTCCAGACTGTAGCTGGACTGTCTTAGCAGATGAAAAGTTCTCCTCCTGTCTCCAGTGACCTCCTAGGGCTGTCTCTGAATCGGGATTTTCCGTTCTTTTGTCGCCCTGTGCCCTTCTCTTTAATATAGTCTAGGTCCACATGTTCTGCTGAAATCTAAAGCTCTATAAAAAGGAATTGTTCATAGACTTCATGGCTGTGTAATGATTCTCCATCCCTTTTCTCCTCAGTGGTGTGATGGCAGGCGGTCGGTCTGCCTCAGCTCTGTGCTGTGCGAGTTGTCAGAGTGCCCTGCTGCGATCAGAGCGTGCTTCTTGCTGAAGCAGCCTGTGCGGGATGAGAGCTATCGCTGTCTTGTTGCCGTTTGTCTGCATGCAATATTAACTCCAAAACACGTGTTCTCTCCTCCTCTCTTCCTTCCCTGGGTTTGGCCTAAAGCTCAGAGCAGATGGGAGACTTCCTGGCCTTCTTTGAGAGCAGTTCTGGGGGAAGAAAGAAACCGGCGAGTCTGAGCAAAACCTCCCCAGAAAAGAAAACCACGTGGAACATCTTGGTGAGGACGGGGACATCCTGGGGTGGGTGGGCTAAGTCAGCTCTGCTTGCTCGAGGAGTTGGCTGGGTTTGGTGAGGAGTGGGAGGGTTTCCCTGGACCGGAGGACAGGGTAGTACAGCTCGTCTGTGACTGC